ATGCTTGACCCAGGAGTTCCCTTGTCTTCTGGATTGGGTTCAAAATTACAAGGCTACGGAGTTTTATATATGAGTAGTCGAAAACCCAAAAAATTGGGTAGGCTGTTCAACGACGGTTATATATATATCGTACACCGTCTACAACGACGTAAAAACAATTATTGAACGTGTGCTTTTAATGTCTGCCGAAGTGCGCTGGAAATCTTCCAGCGTCGACGTAATCGCCAGTTCGAACAACTCTTGTAATTAATTAAATAAATATTTTTGTAGTTAATAAGTTTGTAGTATCTTTTGTAATTGTTTATTCAGATTGACATCGAAACCTGCATGGATTCGTTTGCGATTTTCGCACTCTCGATTTAAATCTTTGATCACACGTTCTAGGATCCCTGATTTTTCTAATTCTTAACAACTTTAATCATCCCACAGAATTTGTTTGAAACACCTTATGTATCGCCAACTTGAATATTCTTGAATTTTGATGACTTTTTAATATTTTACGGAATTTTTTTTTTTTGTAGCCGTCGTTGAACAGCCGGCCCAATTTAGGGTTTACGACTATCAATGTTCAACGCCGTAACCTTGTAATTTTGAACCCAATCCAGAAAGCAAGGCAACTCCTGGATTAAGAATTGGGAGAAATATGCAGTCGTGGAGGACTTTTTTTCATGGAACTAATCCGCAATTCCGTTATATAGAGAGAGAAACCACGAAAACGATCCACAGATAGTCTGGCTGCATGGGGACTCTAACCCAGGAGCCGTCTACCACTGAGGATATTTTACGTCAGCACTGTGGTCGGTGCGAGGCAGGTGCGGAATTCGTATCAACCAGCTATTGCTGGGATTGATCCCGGTTCATCTCATTGGGAAGCGAGCACTCTATCATCAAAGCCACCACTGCTCAATATTTTATGTTTGGCATATAGTGCTAAGTTCAAATTTTTTAACGATCTTTCACATTTATCATTAAATTCGTTTCCTAGATATGTAAAGTCAGACCTGCCAACTTCTCCTGCTTTTGGCCAAAGATTTCTCTCAAATAGTTAAAAGTGATACAAATATTTCAGATTTAAGATATGCAGAGCTGCCAAGTAACTACGCTTTTTTAAAAAATTTCTACCAGTAGTAGCCAAGTTTATGTTTTGATGCATGATTCTTTATTTTGTACATTTGATTAAAAGTTATTTTCCACATTGTTACATGTAAATTATTTAAAAGTTCACACGGTACACCACTTGCTCCACTTGAAGATTTTAAATTAAGTCAGTACTAACAAAAAATATTCGAACATATGTTCATCTTTATTTTTGAAAAAAAAATCTCGAATTTAATTTGTAAATTTTATCTTTTCTGTCGTTCAAATTTCGTATACAATCATTTGATTTTCATGTTTTACGTACAAAACAATTGTGTCAATTAGAAACATTTTGTATTTAAGGGCCCAAATCAAAAAACCATCCAAAGTTTTTAAATATATCTTATTTTCTAATTTTGATTTATAAAGTTTTTTCCATAGACATCACAGGGTTCTCGCTGTCCTTGAAAACATTCAGTAGTGGCAGTTAATGCTTAAAGGTATTTCTCATTTAAATATACCACTTTGCCATTAAGTAGGTAAGAAGCTTAAATTTTCATGCATATATAAAATAAAAAATATTTTTAACTAACTAAAAACTAAAATTAACTAACTTAAATAAAATTTCTAACTAACTAAATTTTCAACTACAATTTTTTTGGAAAAAAATTTTTTAGTAGTTGTTACACAAAAATTAAATTTTCAACATTTGTTTAATTTTCGCTACCATTTTTTTAAAATTTACAAGGCACACGGGAACCCTGTATAAGGATACCATTGCCTTTCCCATTTCATTGTTATCATAAAACAAAAAGGGGTAAATAATACGGGGCAATTTCGATATTTTTTTTTTTTTTTTTTTAATATTGATCCCTTAAATAATACCCATTTTCATGGCTCTGCAAACTAAAAGTTAAAATATTTCTAATTCCATGGTACACTATTTAAAAAAAAAAAAAAGAAGTCACAAACGCTACGCCTTCTGCATAACTGTGGTTAAATCTTATACTATAATACGAGGAATGGTTGCCAAGTCGAAAATCGCCCCAGAATTAATAAACTCCGGTAAACTTGGGGGTCTGGGGTTTTTGGCCACGAGGAATCAATTGGCGCCGGTTTTGAAGCGCTACGGTCGAGTAGTTCGGAGTTACAGATAGGATATTTTCAAACTTTATTAGTTCGCCATAATGGCTATAGATACTTTTCTCCACTCTTATAAATGTATGCTAATGCGAACCTTACAATTGAAATATTAATTTTCGACAACTTAAACCAATAATATATAAAGGAATTAATAATTTAATTG